GACACCACTAAGGAGAACGTTGGGGGGCAGCTGACATCTAAATCTATGCTCAAGTCAGCCCAAGCCACACCTTCCTTTATTCTCCTGGACCTTTCTGTTGCAGATCTGTCTGCTGGAAATCACAGGGCTCCTGCGAGTCCTGTGTCCTCATAGAGGTTGAGCCGGGACAGTAGAGGAGGCTGGGATGAAGGCTTCCTCCATGATGAAGATGAGGTCTTGGATCTCCACCCTTCTCCACATGGGGCACGGATGGGCAGAGCTGGAGCAGGCTCGATGCAGATAACAGCTGAGCATCTATCTGGGCCTGGGCCTCTGAGCTCAAGTGTCCTATCCTGCCTGGGTGCTGGGGTCCGTGCCTGAGCTGGACATCACCAATGGCCACATGCCAGAGCATCCTAGAATCCACTAGCAAGTCACATCAATGGCCTCAAGGGAGCTCTGTAGGGTCCTCTGTGTGAGAGTGGTTGTCCAGTCAGCTGGCTCCCAGCATGCACCTAGCTGGTCAGTGCCATCTCCACTGCAGGGATGGAGAACAGAGGAGACTCACTTCTTTCAGGCCCTGCAGTTGGGGCTCCTGTCTCAGTGAAGTCCCTGCTTCCCTGACTCAGTTGCTGATGTCAATGGTTCATGAGATGAACAAGGCTCAGAACATACTTTAGAAGGAATGACAACATGCTTTCTATGGGAGGAGAATCTTAAACACAGATCCTTGCAAATGCTAGGATCCATGTTCAGATGCATTTCAAGCACACAGCTTCCTGCTGGAATGGATCAGCTGCCTGGGCAGCGGGGAGGTATTTCAAGGAGAACACAGAGGAGACAACAAACCTTTCCCAAACAGAAGATATTTACAAAAATTCTTCTGAAGGGAATCATTTCACATTCAGCCTGAAGTTTTCTATTCAAAGAACATTTAACAAACTGAATCCTAGAGGAGAATTTGTGCAGAGATTAAAAAGCAAATGAGTGAGAATGAGTAAATAAAACCAGGCACCAATGTGTCACCAACTCTCTCGACAACCCTGAGAAGCTGGGCCTGAAGGCCTGGCTTCCTGGACTGAGGCTGGGTCTCACTCCTCACTGTGGGTTGAAGCCCTAGACTGAGCACTTTTGGAGGCTCCTAACCCCAAGCTGTACTCAGGGCCTCCCTCTGCACATAGCACAATGGGAGCGGTAGGTTCCAACTGAACCCTGTTTCACTGACAGAGGATGCTCTGGTCTGGCTAGAGAAAGGCTGCTGGCTTGGGAGTGCTCTGACTAGCTTGTTCCACTGTCCAGTGCATCCAGAATATAAACTGGGAGGGATTTGAGAGCTGTTGGAGTCTGTTGCCCAGGGAGGTGGGACTTACAGCTTTATCTGATTAAGACTGTGAATTGGTCATTTGTCAAATACCAATGAGGAGATTATGAGGGTTTGGAGCCCCTCAAGTTCCTTTTAAGTACTGCCACTAAACTAGTCTCCCTCAACACCAGGGGTCTTCTGGGGCTCTGGATTCCAACTCATTCCTGTCCCTGGAGGGGGCAACCCTGTCTCCAACTGCTCTTGGCTCTCAAATCTTGCACTTCTGAGAGGGAAGATTCCCACTTGGCTCTGCTTGTGGCAGCTGTGTGCATCCAGACTGCTAGTGCAGACAGTGGCACATCTCCACTCAGGAGCAACTGCTTAAAAAGATAGATAAGCATGCTTTGCCTGGGTAAAGCCTGAGTAGACTTTCCTCTTTGTCCACCTCTCCCTCTAATCTAGGCCAGGGCTTTTGCCTGGATTCTTCTGGCCCCTGTGACAGCTGGATACAGCAAGCACAAAGTAGGATTGTACTTTCTAGACAGCTTGTAGGGACAGAGTACTTAATAGCAGATATGAGACCTTCTGGAGGTCTCTCCCTCTGCCATGTTGACCTGCAGTGTTTTTTGTTTGTTTTTGGTACTGGGGATGGAATCTAGGTGCACTCCACCACTGAGACACATTCCCTGTCCTTTTTGTGTTTTATTTTGAGATAGGCTGGCCTCAAACTTGCAGTTTTCCTCTCTCAGCCTCCCTAGTTGCTGGGATTACAGGCATGCACCACTGCGCCCAGCCTGTATTTAAGATGGGGGCTGCTACATCAGCAGAGGCCTAGGGTGAGAAGACATGGAGTCAGGCCCCTGCTAACTCTCATGTAGTGGAAGCAAGAGGAAGATCTTTGCTTATAACCACAGCATAACTCATCCTGTCCTGACCAATGAAGGGAGGCTTCTGGTTTGCTGTATAATCAGCCCAAGACTTGATGCCAAAAACAAGTCTTTTGACTGACAACCTTCCGTCTTCAGGAATACAACCAGATCTACCCTCCAGACCCCACTTTCTCCATCTTCATTTTGATGACAATAATGATGCTCCTCCTCCCTGAATTCAGGTCAGGCAGGGGGCTCACCTCCTCAGTGTGAGGACAAAAATGTTCATTCCTGTTTTGTGTCTGGGGACCATGAGGCATTAGGGCCATTGGACCTTAATCTTTTAATTTAGTGGAAACTGCTTTTGCTCAAAGAGAGACAGCTACTTAGGTGACATATAGAAGGCAAACCCACAGAAATAGAGAAGCAAACCCATTGGAAAAATTTCCCTAAGTGTGGAGTTGGTCACAGGGGCTGAGCAGGGCCTACAGGAGATGGGCAGGATGTCCTCTGAGGACACTGAGATGAAGCCAACAGCCTGTGCTCTATGTTGGAAAAAAGAGGTGGGGCATGGTCAGACAACACCAGCCCCACTGGCTGATGGGAGCACTCAGGGCTGGTGAGGGGCAGGGCTAGGGCGGCAGATGTTAAAAAGGGAGGCTGGGGTCTCCTAGCAAGTCAGATGTGACTTCAGGGGGTTTACTGCTAGGGCTGAAGAGTTTCTGGCAACAGAAACTCTGCCTTCTTGGTGTGTATATTGAGGGTGCAAGTATCCTCCAGAGGGTATGGTCACAGGAAGGCGATGGGTGTTGGGTAAGGCAAGCAAAGGAGAGGCAGGTCATGTGGAAGGACAGAGAGGGAGCAGAGTGGGCACCAGGCAAGACTCAGGAAGTCCTACCTGCCAGAACCACACCCTCAACGACAAGAGTGACCACCAGATCCCTGCCTGCAGGCGAGGAGGCACAGGGGAGGAATAGCTGTGGAACAGGGGCCTGAGAGGAGGACCAAACTCACTCATTCACAGTAGGTTTGTTTAACTTCAGGATGACCTATGTGGACAGCTCACAGGGTTTAGGGGCCACAGCAATGATGTCTTCATCAAACGCCAGCTAGCCCTCACCAAGGGCCCGGGGGAAAACTGTAGCCCCTTTGGCCTGCCGCAAACAGACCATTTCTGTCTTGGGCACTAGTTGTTTCTGTGAAGGCCATTGCACAAGTTTGCAGTATGTACATCAGAAAGGTGGCCAGCCTCTGTTACCTACATCTGACACCTTCAGATCTATCAAGCTAGAAATAGGACAGAGACAGGAGGCTCAAGTCCTGTTGACAATCTATCCCTCCAAGCAAAAGGAGCAGGGACTTGCGTGTTGCCCTGTGGCTTGTCTCTGCGGGACCAGGGACCTGACTACATGGCATCCTGGGGGTGGAAGGAGGTGCTCATCCACCTACCCCAACCTCCATTTCTGCCAGAAAGTGAGAGGTCTGTTTTTCTAACTCTGAGGCCAGACAAGGAATAACTACCTCCCACAGGCCCTCAATATTCAGGTAAGAGGAACCCTGCCACCTGACTGACAAGTGGTAGACCTGTGCCCTGTTGACTTCGCAGCCAGAATGGCTTCAGCAAGCCCGCTCATCTGAGGCTACCTGCAGCCACTCGGGACCTCACACTCATTTTCTCCCTCCCTTCCTTTCTTTTTCCCTGCTCAGGTAGGACAGAGTAAGGACTAGTCCTTGGCAAAGACGTGATAGATTGGAAACAAACATTAGAAAGGCAGAAATGATGGATCCACCTCTAGGAGCCATCTGAATAGATATACAACACACACTTCAAAGAATGTGCTCTTCACACTGGGGTGTATTGACACTGCAAAGCCACCCCAGATGGATATGGTTGGCACCACTATACACATAAAAACCTGATTCTCAGAGACATAAATTCCTAAGAGATACAACCAGATCATCTGTCTCCAATTTCCCCTGTTTCTCTACCTTTCCCACCAAGACTAGACATAAATGATATGCAAACACATTCAAAATATATAAATGAGCACCTTCCAGCATCCCTCCCCCATTTCCAGGACAAGTTTTGGGAAAAGGTAACATAGTCTCCTAACCTATCCTCCACTCTTTCTGTGAGATTGAAACCAGAGGTGTTTTGCCACTGAACTAAATCCCCATTTATTTTTAATTTTGAGACAGGGTCTAAATTGAGAGGCTGACCTTGAACTTGCAATCACCCTGCCTCAGCCTTCTGAGTTGCTGGGATTATATGTGTGTACCATCGCCGGTGGGAAGTATCTACTCTTGTTTCTGGAGAATGCCCAGTAGTTTTGAATTTTTTTGGGGGGGGAAGGATTCAAGAGAATTAGTAAACTTTAAAACTTCTGATACATATTGCCAAACTGCTTTCTACCAAGGTTGTGCTATATTACTGATTGTTTAAGAATAGCTATTTCACAATACTCTTCCCAACTCTAGCATCAAAAATTTCTGTTATCTCTTTCTGATAGTTTATCGGGCAATGATGTCTGGTTACAACTTCCAGGATACATAATCCAAATCTCTTCACTCAGTCCTAATCTTAGGAACTGAGGGAATTGGCATTGTCTTTGCAGATGTGGGAGTGCAGACACACCCCCTTCTTGCAGACACCACACTTCACAGGTGGGCAGGCTTGACCCACATGGCTACAGAGCTGTGGATTTCAAAATTTTGACCAAGCTGCACATCTTTTCTTAAACGATTTCACATAGCACCTCTTTATATCAAAACATTAACAAGGAGATCATGAGGGGAGGCCTAGATTGACCTGGCCGGCCCTGGGAGGTTCCAGAAGCCCTCAGTCTTACCTGAGGAGGGGCCACTTGGACGTTGTCGTCTTTCCTTCTGAAGAGAGGACGTCTTGGCAGTCAGGACCTGAAAGGAGATGAACAGTTCAGAGAGGTGACCGGAACAATCTCCGGAACTCAACCAACAGCCACCGAGCAGCCCCGAACAGGTGAGCCAGGTACAAAGACCGTGGAGCTCCACCTGCGCTGGAGGCTCAGCCACACCCTCACTGTCGCCAGGGTGAGGGTGTGGGCCGGCTGTCCCTGCAGACCAAGTGCAGCCGGAGGGGGTTGGGGCGGAGGTTTTTGTGATAGGCGGGGAGTAGGGGGCTGTCAGGATGGAAGGGCCCTCCACGTGGACCAGCAGAGGGCAGGTGGAGGGGGGCGTGGGGAAGAGGCAGACTCTGGGTTTTGATCTGATAGGTGAAGCCGGAACAATCAGAGCGCTCCCCAGGAGCTTTGTGTAATCAATCTCTGCCTCTCAAAGATACCGGGGCGGGCGGAGGGCGGGGGGGGACTGAACCCAGGCCGGGGAAGGACGGTGGCCACCGGGACGGGGGTGGGTTGGGGGAGGAGCTGGCGTCTGGAGCAAGAACCAGATAAGGGGAAGGACAGACAGGCCAGCTGAGGGAAGTTTCAGCAGGGACACTTTGTGAACTCAGCGGGGTCTTCGGAGGTGACGGTTGGAAGGGCACTCGTGTGAGCAGAGGCCTTTGGACACGATGCCACAAGGTCCCCGAATCCCTTCCGCTGACCCAACACCGGGATCCTGGCATTACGCCGCACGGACCTTGCCCTCGACACGTGGGCCCCAGTCCCTGCAGGCCCCGCCCCCGCCCTCAGCTCCGCCTTCGGCTTCAGGTGCTGGTCCCGCCCCCCATCTCCGGCCAGTGCGGTTTTGCGACCCCGCCCCCTAGCCTCAGGGGCTGCCTGGGCCCTGTAGTCCCGCCTTCCAACTCCAGACCCCGCCCCCGACTCGCTGGTCAAATCTTTGGCTCGGGTCCGGCCTCTGGGCTCAGTTTCAAGTTCAGCTCTATTCAGCTCTGTCCTAGCGCTACCGGTGCCTCTCTCCTTGTGCCCTCCACTTCTCAAGCCAGTTCCACTGCTCTGCCCAAAGCCCTCTTACCGCCCACTCATCCCAGAAAGGCTACCGCACTTCTCAGGGCCCTTCCAGATCATACTGGGTCCTTCATGCAAAATTATTTTGTAAGTCACCCAAATGAGGTGTTTTAAAAGAATCCAAAATCTGTATCCCAATCCATTCTGTGTTTCCTAATCAAAGATATTGCAGAAGCAGTGGCAGGAGTGTCTCCTTCACCACATAGTTGGCTCCCTTCTGATTAGGAATCCTCAAAGAAAAGGTTTGCGTTTCAGTGAGACCTGGTTCCAGAATAGTAGCTGAAGGTCCTGGGCAAGTGGCTAAACCTCTGAGTCTCCAGTATCCCCTCCCGTGGAACAATGGGGACTAATACAGAATCTTGGATGACCATGGCCACCAAGCATCAACTGAAATTGAGATTTGGTGTTCCCAGATCAGAATGGGAAGAAGGCAGCCAGAGTCTATAGTTCCATAGCTACTCAAAGTGACCTGAATTTCCCCAGGGGCCCTAATTTCCATGTGGATATCTGGCTTTTGCTCTCTGAGTTAAATACAAGACAGTCACTCCTCGCCCACCCCATAGCCCAGAGAGTCCAGTCTGCCTAGAGTCACTCGGTGTTTCGGTGTTTCGCTGTCTTGACTTCCACAGGCGGCCCCATTTCCTGCCCCTGAGATGCCTGGCTCCTCAGCCTCTGTAGACAGATGACCCGCATGCATTTCTGTCCCTCACTCTCTTGCTGGGCTGATCTGACTCTAGATAACAGGGCAGCAAGTCTTTGGAGTGGATATAAAGGAGGCAGTCCCCTCTGAGCCCCCGGGGGCGGTCAGCCTCCACTACCCTCTTTCCAAGTGTGGAGAGGCTCACTCCTCATCTCTCAATAAGAAATTTGTCAGGCAGAATCTTGAGCCTCTGACAATTTTCTAACTGTCCCCAACTAGCTACACAACTCCCACCCTTCTGCCAAATTCTCCTGAAAATTTTCCTGTATTAAATGACAGGAACTGACTACTTAGGGAGGGGTTCCTGAAGGGAAATGGAATCTCCACAACCTTGACGTTATAGGCCCTTTCCTTTCCTGGGGGAGGGGGAAGAAAAGGCAGAAAGAAAGAAAAGAAAGAAAAAGAAAACTATGTCAGATCATTGATATTCTGAGCCAGACCTTGTTTTGAAATTTGCTGTCTCCGTCCTTTCAACAAACTACAGCCTTTCTCCCTCTTTTAAAATAAGATCACATCAAGTCAAGGATTAGAAATGGGAAAAATCCAATCAGAGCTTTCCTCTGCCAGCTACACATCTCAGTATACTCCCAGCCGAAGAGAATCAACTCTGCCACAACCCTGCTCAGCATCATTCAGAACGCAACGGTAGGAAAAGGTGAAACAGAAGGACCTTTCATCCCTTGGTGAGCCCAGCCTGCAGTGCTGCTCTCCTGTGTCCGGAAGCTGGCTATGCCTGGGCTGAGTTGGGGCCTTTGGCTTAAATAGGCAGTGGGAGCAGGGGAGGGCGGGTCCTGGGGAGGGCATGGAAAGTGGGCCATTTACCCAGCACAGCAGAGCAGTGTCTGCGAAGCCAGTAGTGGTCCCAAGCATGTGCCTGCCTGCCTGTCTATCCACCCAGAGGCCCCAAACCCACAGGCCCCTAGACCACAGGCCAACACCTGGGGTGACTCCTGATGTATGTGCAGCTCCAAATGAGACCACATCCCTGTGTACACAGTGCTTAGGTTCCTGGATGCCTCTACCTTTTCTGGGTAAAAGAACTCGCTATGGAGTTAACGGACTTGCTTTCTCCCCAGAATCCAGAATCAGCAGGGGCCTCAGGTACCTCTCCAAGTCCCAGTTTCTACTTCCTTGAAATGAGGATAACATTGACTTTCATAGGTTCAGAAATAATGTTTGTAAAGGGACCTGGAACCTTTACAAACATTAAAGCTGATTTAATTATTCACCTGGTGATACTGGAGCAAAGTATCTTTGAGATTTAAACAGAGAGGTTTGGTAACCAGGCCTTCAGAGGAATGTCAGGATGAGACTTCATGCAGAGCTGAGACTTTTCAGCCTCATGCTACAGTTGAAGCTTGGGGTGAGAGTGGGGAGCAGCTTCTGGCCTCGGAGGAGAAATCATCCCTAAGCCCCCAAAACCAAGGCAAAAGAGAGGCCCGGCTGGACAGGTACGCTCATGCAGCCTGTGCTTTTGGTTGAGACCTATAGTGGGGAGTGTGCAGAGTAACTGCTGGGGATGACCGGTGAGAGGAGCTGCCGCCTTAAACCTCAAAGTTCTCCAAGGAAGGTTGTGGGAAGGTGAGTGCCTCACTTGGTTGGTTTAACTTGATCTTCCAGTGGAGTTGGATAGTACCTGCATCTCAGCCATCCCAGGTTAGAACATCAGCCAGTGGGGAATTAAGACAAAGCAGTAGTTAACTGTTGGTTCATGCTTATAAAATTTCTACCCTTAGAAGTACATGTAAATCCAGGTGTGGTGACACATGCCTGTAATCCGAGTGATTTGGGAGGCTTAGGCAGGAGGATTGCAAGTTCAAGGCCAGCTTCAGCAAGTTGGTGAGACCCTATCTCAAAATAAAATAAAAAAGGAGGGGTGCAGTGCTAGGGATGTGAATCAGTGGATAAGCATCCCTGGAATCATTCTTTGGTAGGGAAAAAAAACGTGCATGTAAATCTAATAAATAATTCGAGTTATATGCAAGAATCTGTCTTTTAACAGGAAAAGTATGCATGTTTAGTTTGATTAACAAAATGTTAACTCCTCATTTCCTCCCCAAAAGGCAGCCAAACAGAGGACCAGGATCTCTAGAATTGGAATCAGAGGGAAATCAACTTTGCCATAAGTACTGATAAAGGAGAAGCCGATGTTATGGTTACAAGTAAACCCTGGTCATCTGCCAATCATTGATGAGCTTGGCACCATTTCAGGTGTTTGGACTACAATGAAATCAAGGATTAGAAATGGGAAAAAGATGCACAAGAAAGAGCATGTACTTCAAAGCCCAATCTGGGTTCAAATCCAGTTCTGAGTAATACTGGGCCTTGCTTTATCCTCTCCGATCCTTCCTTGGGGTTTTGCAACCTTGCAGGGCTCTTGAGAGAACAAAAAGAGATGGTGTTGGTGAAAACCCTTAGTAGATGTTCAGTGATAGTTGTCCATTTTGGAAGGATAATTCTATAGGGAGCATGGGTGAGCAGGAGGAAGGCCAGGATAGTAGCTGAAACAGGGAGACAGCAGGGCCAAATAGTGAAAATAATCCCCAAGCATGGTGGCAGAGATCTGTAATCTCAGCAATTTGGGAGGCTGAGGCAGAAGGATCACAAGTTCAAAAGCCAGCCTCAGCAATTTAGTGAGGCCATAAGCAACTTAGTGAGACCCTGTCTCAAAATAAAAAATAAAATGGGCTGGGGATATGGCTTAGTAGGTAAGTGCCCCTGTATTTAAACCCTGGTACCCCCCCCAAAAAAAAGTAGTGAAAATAAGAAATAAGGGGTCACATATCTCATGGATATCTAAGAAGGTAAAATGGTGTTATGAATTGAATATTTGTGCTCCTCCCCACTAAATTCCTATGTTGAAGCCCTAAACCCCAGCATAGCGCTCTCTCTCTCTCTCTCTCTCTCTCTCTCTCTCTGTGTGTGTGTGTGTGTGTGTGTGTGTACATTCCCCCTTTTTTAGTGTGACTGTATTTGGAGATAGGGCTTCTAAGGAAGTAATTAAAAAGGTCATAAGGGTAGGGCCCTGATCTGATAAGATTAGTGTCCCTAAGAAAGAAAATCAGAGAATTCTTATATGTACCCAAGAAAGGCCACATGAGGACTTATTGAGAAAGCCCGTGTCTACCACAAAGACAGCCCTCACCAGGTACAGAATCATCCAGAATCTTGATCTCAAATTTCTAGCCTCCAGGACTGTGAGAAAATAAATTTTAAGTCATTTAAGCTACCAAATCTGTTACTTTGTTATGGCAGCTAGAGCAGACTAA